AACTGTTTCAACCCTCACACACACACACACGCAGGAGTCGAGTGCAGCAGTTTAGCCGTTTCAGGGGTTCCTAAGTGTCCGCAACTGCTGAGTTGGGCGTGTGAGTGAATTCTGAAACCTGACATCCTTAGTTCTCCAGGCAGTGTTCTGACTTGCATTCTGTATCCAAAACGTTGCAAACGAAAACAAACTTCTGTCCAACCCTGTCCACATCAGCCCAATGCAAAATCAATTGAACATGTAGACATGACTGAACATGCAAAAATCACTGTGTTTCTACATCAATGCAGTTCTTTGACAACAACTGTCTCTCACATCAAAACTGTGTTTCGCGTACGCCAGTGCTTCGCAAAAATGAAACAACTGTGCTTCACATGACTGCTGTGTTCCACATCACTGTCATTTGGTTTCAAATTTGTTTGAAATAAGACATGCAAAACATCTTTGGTTCTCACATGCCAAAAACTTTCCTTCACACATCACGCGTCCCCCCTTTAAACTGGCGACGTCCGGAGACGTGCAAATCAAAACCAAAAACAGTTCCACCTGCCACGCACATTTCTTCAAGAAAATCATGCAACATGCAGGTCAAAACACAAAAAAAAACGTTTGTTTGGTTTTGGTTGTTTCATGCGACATGCAAAAATCATGAACATGCTCAGGGGTCCTTTCGTCCAGCACGAACTGCGGCCAAAATGGCCTTTGCCAGTTCTTTGTTATACACACCGGTTGCTGTCCAGTTGACATCGTACATCCCTGCATGTTTCTCACATTCGCACCAACCAAAACGCCTTGTGAGCAAATTGCAAAAACCAGCTGACGCACTACAAAAGATAAGCACTTTACCGATAGGCAGTCCATTCGGTGCTTGCATACCGGTTTGACACAAAAACACTTCAGCATCAAATTGCAAACCACATTGTTTCAAAACTCGTTTGGTCTCTTCACGTTTCCATATGTTGTTGTTTCGGGGCAGTTCGAAAGACCTCGAATTCCCAAGCAACAAATACTTAGAGACGTTCTCCATGATACCTTTCCATGACCTGTCTGCCTCTGATTCGATTGTTGCAGAAAAATTCTTGAGTGGAGACCCTGAGCTACAAGGAGTAGAAGCGTGCACATGCACCCAACGGTAGCCTAACTGTTGGTGAACCTCAACAAACTCTTTCACCTTTTGAAACATGTCCGCAGTTTCCATTCGTTTGACTATACCGATATAGGGCATGCGTGCAACTTTGCATGCTTCTCTCAAAGCTGAATTAGTCCCACAACAAACTTCCACAAATGCAACATCTTGCTTGTGATCAACCCTACTGTTGATAAGCATGACATCGCGAACTCGATGCAGGTCTTGCATAGGTACTTCAGGAGTTTCAAACCCTAAGCTTGTGCGGTGTCTCAGGAAATCTTTGGTCCCCAAACATTTGGTAAACAAATCTGCCACATTGTCCGTTCCGGCCCTGTGTTCAACCAAAAGTTCATTTGAGCTAATTTTAGCTTTCATCCAGGCCATACGAATTTCAACATGTCTACTTCGTTTGGGTATATCCTGTCCGACCAACAATTGCAAGGCTGAAGAGCTATCTGACTCCAGCAAGATTTGCGGCACATCTCTTTCTCTCATTTCACCAATCCCTGTGTAAACACGATGGCAAAAATTGCTAAACGCAACTGATTCCTGGGCAACCATTTGCAATGCATACAATTCTGCTTCACAAGAGGACAATGACACAGACTGCTGTTGCCTAGCCAATGACCTAACCAATGCACCTTCACAGAAAACAACCCCACCAGAAATTCCCTTTCTACCATTGAATCTGTATGGAGCAAATGATGCATCAGAGAATGAATGCAAAATTGAATGTCTTGCAGGCCCTATCATCAAATTCTCGTATTCTGGGGATGGTAACCTCAAACATGTTCCCACATCTTCAAACAGAAATCGCAGCAAAGAACGAATGGCAGCCTCAGTGCCTTGGTTGGGCTTTGCTTGCTGACTTCCGATTAGACTGAGATACAGCTTCAGGTCGTGCCTAGACTGTGCCATCCACAGAAGCTTGCCAAGTGCTCGGCGAAATCGTGAGTACGCAGAGGGAGAGAGTTCTTGCAATTGATTCTTGTCGCCCATGGCCTTGTCCAAAATGCCGGCCACATCCGGCACCGATGCAGATCCTTTCGTGATGTTGAATTCCGTAAAGGTCGTATCCAAAAACTTTGGATCCACGCCAATTGTCAAAGAGTCGTCATCAATTCCACGATGCACATGCCTGCCAATGAAAATTAAACGTCCACCTCCATGTCGTGCAGGAAGGATGATTCCGGTCTCCTTCAAGGGCACGGCTTTGCCAATTGCTTTCTCCACAATCTTCTCAGCTTTCTCAGATTGGCAACAAAGGAGTAGGTCGTCAACATATGCGACAAGCAGTGCAAGTTCTCCATTAACGACACCTTGATAAATGCATGGTTCGACCTCGTCAGAAGTCAATCCAACACCACGGATGCTGTCACTCAGCAAATTCAGCCAGTGCAGCGATGCATCTCGAAGACCATTCAAGGCTTTATAGAGCAACAAGTAGGCTTGTGAGCCATCAGGCATAGAGACCGAGAGGGGCAGTTTCAGCACAATCACAAGTCCATGAGGAAGAGGTGAATGCATGAAGGCGTGGGAAACATCAAGTCCTTTCAGTCGAAGAGCACGTTGGGCAGCAAGAGTGAGAACGAAATGCAGGCCCTCAATGCTTGGTGTTGGGCTCGAAATTCCCAGCTTTCGTGCACTAATTCCTTTATTCAGGTCCTTTGCAACTATCCGGACTCTGACTCGTGATTCACTTTTGTATGCTGAAACCCATCTACTTGGAATCACACGCATGAGCGGGTGTTTCTTTTTCAATGCATCAACCTCAGCCTGTCCTGTGACTCTACCAGCGCCACATTTCTCCAAATTACCAATTTCTTCTTTCATACCCTCAAAACCTAAGTCCACGTCAAGTTGCATGAGTGAGCTGTCATCAATTACTTCATCTGGTTTCCACAGCAGCACTTCAGAACCACCAAGTTTCACCTTCACACACTGGTGATCCTTCCCATGTGCAAACTTAATTGAATTAAGCTCAGCATCAAACAACGACTCGTAGCTCGTGCATTCTCTGGTCCTTGTTCTAAACACCATGCAACAGGTCCTAAGGCATGACATGCATTGTCCATGTGAAAAAGATCAAGAGTCATGGGTTCTTGAGTTCCAGCTGCACGTTCAGCAGCCATCTCATCCTCTAGATCTTGCACAGACTGTTCTGCTTCTCTCTTCACGCCTGAACCTTCAGTGTCCATACTTAGACCAACCTCTCTTGAACCTGCGCCAACCGGAGTTGGGCCATTCTCAATCTCAACCTCCATATCTTCATGTCTCACCTCAAGTCTCGGTCTTGCAACATTAGGCACAACATCTGGCATTTCAACGGGAGTTTCACTCGCCTCAAATGCAGCACGTTTTCTCTTACATTCAGCATTATGCCTAATTCCAGGTACATCCATTCCAGAATCACATGCAGGACACCGGGGTGTCTTTGGGAAAACACGCACATCTGACCTAGCAACATCTGGAGACGGAGACGGAGACTTTGGTGACACTTTCGGAGAGGCTTTAGGCAATGCAGGTCCATCAGAAGTAGATGCACGAATTGGGTCTTGTCGGGCAATCTTCAACTCACCTGGTTTCTTTCTTGGTTGAGATGGAGCGGACTCCACCGGTCGTCTGTTCTCCAAACAATGGGGAAACAAAGGGGCGCGGTGAGTAATGGGGTAAACTAAAACTAACGCGAGAGAACACAAAGGAGTTAAACAAGAGCGCGATCGCGGTATACGCGCAAACTGAACCAACTGACATGTGAAAACATCAAAACTGGACATCTGCAAACTGAAGAACAAACAAGTGATCGAACACGGAAACGCTCCACTCCTTTTTTGTCTGGTGGTGACGGCACTGCTGTGAAAGATTTCTGAGACCTAACTGCCACCATCGTGCGAAATCTCTTCCAAGTGTCTTTCATCGTGAACACATCTTTGAAACGTGGACGAGGACAAAATGTCCCCGAAATTCGATTGTACATCAAGCAAATAAATAGCGAAGTTCCAATCCAGTGCCAAAGATGGTGGTCGCCACGAGAACCCAAGTCCAACCAAATAAGGGTGGGGGGGTGTGGTACAAAAATTTGAACAACTGAAACTGCACAGAAAATATAAAACTGAGAAATGAATCTGAATTCACGTTGAAGTTTGAACAGATTGTAAGACAAATTTCTGAGTGTTCCAAAAACCTAAACCTAACAAACCTAACAGTAACAAGCAAGGCAACTGAAAACTGAAATGAGATCATCTTGCGAAAGAGAACCAACAACACCAAACAACAGAGGCAACTGAAACTGAAACTCAGGCGTTGCAAAAGTTGGTTTGTTTCATTTAGGTTTTTTTTTTGAGGAACACGCGAAGAGGAACCCAGAAGGCCCAAAGGCCAAATACACGAGAGAGGTAACCCTCAACCAAACCCCCACCACCCACCCACCCCACTGTTTTACAAACAGTCACTTTGGTGACCCAAAATATCCTGTTCTCCAAACAATGGGGAAACAAAGGGGCGCGGTGAGTAATGGGGTAAACTAAAACTAACGCGAGAGAACACAAAGGAGTTAAACAAGAGCGCGATCGCGGTATACGCGCAAACTGAACCAACTGACATGTGAAAACATCAAAACTGGACATCTGCAAACTGAAGAACAAACAAGTGATCGAACACGGAAACGCTCCACTCCTTTTTTGTCTGGTGGTGACGGCACTGCTGTGAAAGATTTCTGAGACCTAACTGCCACCATCGTGCGAAATCTCTTCCAAGTGTCTTTCATCGTGAACACATCTTTGAAACGTGGACGAGGACAAAATGTCCCCAATGCAACGCACGAGGCAACGTTGACTGAAGCTGACGCTGAAACTGAAGGGGGGCTGTCAAATTAACCCCATGCCGTCTTTTCACCTTTGTCTTTGCCTTTTCCGTAAACCGCCCAAGAGTCGCGGTCTAAGTACTCTTCTCTGGCTTCCCAAAGGCTCGCCAACAAACTCAAATCTAAATCTGAAAACAGGCAGGAAATTCTCTTGTCCATGTCAACCCCTCCAAACTTGGAGTTCGTCAAATCGTCAGCGAGGGTGTTCTCGTCCCTCGGTCTCCACGCCAGACTCAACCTGACACCTGACCTCATCAAGAAATGTGAAAGCTGCATGTTGACTAAGGTGAGAGGCCAGCGGGTAGTGGAGTTCTTTTTGGACAAGAAGTCAATGGAACGGTTGTCAGTCCCGCTCTGAATCCACAAACGTATGCACGTCCTACCTGTCTTGGGCTCCAGGTAGCCAAACAACCGTAGCGCCACCAAAACGGCAAGCAACTCAGCTGGTGCCGAAGCCCACTCACTGTCTCCGTTCTCTTTGAACAAGTAAGGAGCATCACGCGGTGTGACCCGCACTGAAAACCACCTTCCGTCTGGGAAGTGATACCCCGCAAGAACCACCAAGTTGTTTTCGCATTTGTAAGCCTCTGCGGCTTCACGCAAGAAAACATGAACTTCTGCTCCTCAAACTGCTTTTCCAGAAACATGCAAACCAGCCTGACCAGGCGTGGGGCCGTAGCAACTGTGCTTTTGCTAACTGCTGACGCCCAAGAGTAAAGCGGGGCCAGATGCGGCTTCAACCACAACAGGACGCGGCAGGTGAAGCCGAGCCGCCCAAGAAACTCTGCAAACCTGTGGACATGCACTGTATAGCCATCCCTCCTCAGCTCTCTGAGAAAACTAAGCAGCCATTGACCGCGGGCTCCACTTATGCCAACCTCCATGTTGCGGTAGTCAACACGGTATCCAACAAACTGGACGTCCATGCCTCCAGAAAACTTCTTGTATCCAAAAGGTGTGCCCAAAGCTTCATAGGCCGCAATTGCCATCCACAAAGTCTCAAACTTCTGCTCACCCACGCAAACAACGTGGAGATCGTCCACGTAAACCAGTTGTAAAATCCACCTGTCCAAGAGCAGCCTAGCCACCAGCCTGCCTGCAAGGCCAAACAACCTGCTCCACCAATAAGGCGCACTTGACACCCCAAATGTGCCGACTTTATTGACCCAGCACACTTTGGAGTCAGAGTCTGACTTACAAACCAAAAGCCTCCAATCGCTTTCCCTGATCTTGACCAACCTGTGCGCCGCCTTGATGTCTGCTGACACCGTGAAGAAAGCCTTCATGGTGTCCCTCGCGCACCGGACTGCCCCTGCAACATCTGGTGGCCCAGGGTAATCTAGCTTGTCAGTAAACCTGATGCCATTGTTGACTTGGACAAAGTGAGTCCCATCATGTATGGGCCTAACGCTCCCATCTGGTTTCTTGATTGCCCCCATGGCCGCCACCAGGATAGGTTTTCCCGGGTAGCGCTCTTTCAAAACTCCCATAGTCGTGGGGAACATCATGCCTTGCGCCTCGTCCTCTCTGAACTTGCTTTCAAGCCCTTCCTTGTTCTCCACCGCAGACTTGTAGTTGCGTGCCTCCTCCATGTACTCAGAAGAGTCCAGGTTGCTCTGTTTTAACCGGGCACGAAACACATCAGGAGCAGGTGGTATAGGCTCTTCGTACCCAACCGGCACGCCAGACGAAAAGGAGTCTCTGTCTGCCACCAAAATTTCATGATCCGGATCTTCCTGGATCTTCAGAGTCTGCGCCATGAGGTCCAAAAAGAAAGGTTGGCCTTCTGCTCTCCCCATAGCACTGCCTGGGACCGGCAGCAAAGCTGCCCACCGCTTCCTTAACAGGTCAAGAGCGTCCCCCCCAAAGGGGGACTCCGTCAACTTCCCAGTCGCCAGTTTGAAAGCCATAAGGCGAAGGTCTCCCAGCTGCTCATGGACAAAATTCCTCAACAAATCGTGGATCTTTGTATTGAGCTCCATTGAACGCACGCTCTGTCCAACACCTCTGCAACCAGGCGCCCACCTATTGGGTGAGCACAGTCCAAAACCATCAACGATCTCTCTCTCTTCACCTGACCATTCCACCATCAAAGGCCTACCCCAGTTGAAACGCGAAACAGTGTGCTGCACCTCTACTGTTTTACTGGTACCAACAGCCTGTGCCGCCGGTTGTTCAGCCAGCGACTGTTTGTCCTCCTCATCAACTTCAATCTGTTGTTGTTGTATCTGCTTCGACTCAGGAGCCACATGCTTCGTAACCGCTTCAGCAGGAGGGGAAACAGGTCTCGGAGAAACAAGCCCCTCTTTAACCCTGTGGTGATCCCCTTTCCGCAGGACGGAGGCCACAAGGGTTGCAAGATATTTGCACAAGCCAGGTGGATATGCTGCAGCAGGCCCGGTGACCCAACGTCCCTGGGAGTCTTTTCCAATCAAACGCCTGACATGACGCTTGTGAGTGCACCGAGCTGGCAATGGCCCCAAATATCGGCCATCTTGATCAAATGACGGCCACTTCGCATAGCGCGACTTGATGCCCGGTATTGTAGAAAGAAACCTGGTGGGTTTGCTGGTGTCCGCCCCGAAGGCGCATTGGAAAATTGCCCATGTTGTCGCTTCTGTGGCAATTTGAAGGTCGCGCATGTCTTCCAGTTGCCAGATCGATGCTGGGTATTCACCATTAACTGACCCCAAATCCTCTGGATGTTCAATCAGAAAGAAGGTCCCTGCTGCGGAGGCAATGTATGCAGCCTGGATAGTTTGAGAAACAAAATAATTTGCCACGTCAACTTTCTTGCGTTGTGCAGCTGACAACCATGGAAAACCCCAGGGCCACGACTTGTTGCGCTGTGGGCGCGGCCCTGGATGCAGCTGCCATTGAAAGCGGACTCTTGACCAAGTCCCGCATGGTGGTGACATGATAATCACATCATACTTGCCATCACGAATCTCTGCAAAAAGTTGTTCCCACAGCTGTGCACTGCTGAGGTCGTCAGACTCAGAGCGCTCAATGTCCACTTCGCGGACATTCAGGTCAAAATCCTGTGCCAGGGAAATTGCATGCAAAAAGGAATTGATGTCAGCACGACGTGGAGCTCCCGCAAACAAATAGAGCACATTCAAACGCTGTTTAACAGAGCTTTCGCTCTTCTCAGAAGCCCCACGCTGTGCTTGTCACTCATCACCAGGTCTGCCCTGGTCTTCACCACTTGCTGTCTGAGACTTGGAGCCGGTATATTTGTGGTGTTCACGTGCCGAGTGTTTTGCGTAACATCCACGGACTCGGCATGCATGTACCCTGCCACACTTTCCAGAACACCCCTGAGCGTTGAATGCAAAGCATAGTTCACGACCATCCGGCGTGTGTGTGACCAAGCTGCTGCCGTTGAAATCCCTGGCGTTGCCTTTGCCAGACTTGCCTTTTCCTTTTCCACCTTTGGCTCCTTTGTGCTGAGGCTTCCCTTTGTAACTCGTTCGCTGCCACTTGTTGGGCTGTGGCTGCGTGGTCCTTTGGTTGTTCCAGCCAACCCCCAAAGCAATAGGAGCTGTAAAGTGCGCTTCCTTGATTTCTGCATCCCTTATCACCGCTGCCAAGCCTTCCGCAACAGTGTGGGTACCAGCCTGCACAAGCTTGAAGACTTCTTTGCGCATCTTTTGCTCGTAGCTGAGGATAACTGCCCATGGAGGTTTCACTGCATGGGTCTGGCCTTCAACGTTGAATTTCAACCCCAGCACCTTTTCACCAAGCAAATACTCCGTGTACTTTGTCCAGTGCTGCAACTCCAGCCCATGGAGCCATGTCTTGTTTCGAAACTTTGCTGACATGCAAAGCCAGCTGATGGCCTCCAGCTTCAAGGCCCTGCGAAGTGACTCTGTGTCCTCTGGGAGGCGCCCTTTGGTCTTCACTTTCGTGACCCGGACATGCCCAGATGAATCAAGCGATGTCTGCAATGCCGACGAGCTCGTGTCTGAACGCGAAGACACCTCATCGAGCCCCAGAGCCTGGGGTTCATTGGCTTCGCACTCCTCGACTTTCAAGGCCAGGTACTCATTGCTAGGGATCTCTGCATCTTGAAGCTTACCCAATGTGACTTCCACAGCTTTCACCATGGCCTGGCGTTCAGTATGCTGAAGAACGCGCGGCATGCCCAACACTTTCGTCTCTGCTTGAAGCTCTTGCTCTTTTGCTGTCATTGAACGTGACAACTCCCATGCCGTCAACACTTTGGCAACATCTGCTCTAGTCTCTGGACTTGTTGCTGGATCAATACGAAAGTCAGTGCGCAATGCCTCCCGCACTTCTGCCTTTGTATCACACATCGAACTGAAGACCTTCATGGTCTTGTAATGTTGTGCCAGCGTATGTTGTGTACCCAGCGAAACATCGCACTCTTGCCAAATATATTGCAGATCTGAGCTCACATGCTCTGCCAGGTATGCTCTCCGAGCAACATCATCGACTGCCATGGTACACAGCACTGCCCGAGGACTAACCGCGGGATTGCAAAGAAACTAAACAAACAAACCACCAATCAAAACGATGTTTCAGCTGCCAGTTGATGAACATCCCGTGAAATAGCATGTGTGTAATACAGATGAGGTGTGAAGTTGCAAGTAAATACAAGTGCGACTAAAATCGCCTGAAGCTGAAGCTAAGTTCTCCAACTGAGTCTGAGTCTGAATCGGCTCTGACGCCGCTGAAATTTGGAATGACCCTGAGTGCCTGTCCTGAAACATGTTGTGCCAACATGACTGAAAATGCTCTGAAACTTGGTGCACTGTTCACCAATGCACACACTGCAAGCACTCAACACTTTTCCACCTTTGCGTTAAAGTTGAGATCTCGGCCGTGCCACAGCCACGTTCTGTGCCAGCAGCGAAACCTACTGGCCTGACTCGAAGTCCTGTGGTTCTTAACATCTGCCGTAAGTCATGAAACATCTGACAATACGCAAACCCAGAACTTCAACCGCTGAAATCAACATCACAGAATTCAAACAAACCGCAAAGGCATCCTGAAGCAAGCAAACAAACTCACTGAAATCGAAACCTGAAACAACCCCAGTGAATCAACATGGACTCTCAGTTGTGACATCCTGAGGACTCCCGGCTGACGTCGCCAATGTCAAGAAGTTCAGGCATCACACCCGATTTGCATAGCATGCTGTACTTGACATGAACTAACAGCAACGAATGAGGCTTCGATCCATGAACTGAGATGTTGACCAACCCGCTGAAAGCACATCATGACAAAGCTGACAACAAACCGTCCCTAATACAAATGAACCTAAGTCACAAAACAAAACTTGTCCAAGAGGTCAACAACGGTGAAATTCTTCACTTTGTGAAGCACATGCCTACATCGATTCGTTGCCTGAGGACTCAACGCTTGTTGATGACGAAGAGCCATCGCTTGAACTGCTGCTGACTGGTTCATCCTCCACTTGGTTCTTCAAGAACCTCTTACACACCCTGCAAATGGCATCAAAGCTTGCGGAAGTGACTGACTCAACTGTTTCTGCTTGCTGACATCGTTCTGCATGGACATGACATTTGCCAGTGACATGAAGCCTCCGGAAGCCTGTCCTCCTGGAGACCGTGACAAAGTACGCCATGTCGTCATCCACATCGACTGGTGCGGGGTGTTCCCCATCAATCGGTTGTTGTGGGTCCTCTTCATCACTCTCCTCCTCATACCCATACCTGACCATGTCCTCTGCCTTGGGCAAAGGAAGCATCTTGTGGCGTCTCCGGACCCGTTGCCCGCTCAAATCAGACTTCTCCGCAAACTCGCGGACACTGTCCAGCAATTCACTCTCGTCATATGCCACCTCTGCTCCGTAGAAAGAGTCTCGCACTTGCTGCTGGATCCTCTCAGTGATCTGGCGGGAGGTGTGGAGGTATGCATTGGACCCCACTCGCCCTATCGACCACCTGCCCAAGAAGTCTCTGTCATGTTTGTCACACCCAATGGCAGCTGAAGTCTGCGGCAAAAAATGCCTAGGGCTGTGTCCCTTCCAGAAAAGCGAAAGCTCCACTGGAACCAATTCCATGCTTGCATTGACCCGCCATCTGCCATCCTCAAACTTCGGCGTACCCAACATCTGAAGGACCATCCGAAAATAGTTGGACAGCTGCGGCGGCTCCACAAGCTTCTTTCTCATGGCTTGCCAATTCTCAGTTGGTGCTGGTACCAAGTAGTCCCTTGGGAAAATTGCTGTATCGTGTCTGAAAAGCTGCATGCCCTCATCTATCCAGTCGTGACCAGTCAGTGTAATGCTCCTGTGCACGAAAGCATGTACCTGACCATGCACCTTGCCTGGACCCGTTGTCTTCGTACGGGACATGCGAACTGATAAGCCCCTGGGCGAAAGGCGCATGGTTTCCGGCATCACACATTGTATGTCGTCCACACGCATGCAGCCCCATGTAGCAACCAGCATCGTCCATGCAATGACCCTTGCATAATAATCCCTCTGATCATCCATGACAAGAAGCTCAAGTGCCAGCAAAATTGAAACCGTATATGGCGGCGCCGACCCCTTTGGCCTACTATTTGAACTCAGCTCCTGGCTCCAGCTCTGCAAGTGTGCCTTCCACGTTGGATCCATGGAAAGCTGATTGCACTCCAACACTCTGCCAGACCTTTCCAAAAGCACCAACGACGCCTGAAGTTCAGTGTGAATCGACAACGCACACCCTACCTGTATACACTCTTCCACATAATTGACCAAGTCCGCAAGTGAGCGTGGCCACACTGCCCCAGAGTAAGCTATCAACCAGAGCCTGAACTTGCTCCAGCTGCGGAACCTGTTCCTCAAAGTCTTACCCCTCCGTGAACCAAAGATCCTCTTCCAAGCCTTGTTGGGATTATCCAGCTGATGTATCTGATAAACAACAGGCAAACCAGCTTCATCGATAAATGTTGCAAGCTCCATCGCATATTTATCCCTCAAAGCTTCTTCCAGATCTGCACGGTTGACTGTTGAAGACTTACGTTGTTGTGCAACACGTTTTGCAACCTCCAGTGCATACTTGGGGTCATCCTTGACTATGGACTCGAAAACGTCTGAGGTCTCAACATGTGCATCCGTCCGGATAGGAAACAAGCTGTACTCCAGTCCAGCGACAACTGCACGTCTACGCCGTTTGAATGCAGTTTGTTGCAATGCAGACCACTCAACCAGCCGCCTAGCAGCTTCACCTGTGAGGCGTTGTATGTCTAACCCTTCTGAGTCTGCCAACTGTTTAAACACCTCTTGTGCCTCATCTTCAGTGTCAAATGAATTGGCAAACGACGATGCACACCCATAAAACCTGACAACTGTGTCTAACAGTTTCTGCCCCAGAAATTCGAGTCCAGTCCACTCGTCCTCATCCATGTGCGGCCGACAGGCGTGCGAAGCGCCCCTCTCTACAAAAATTTGAACAACTGAAACTGCACAGAAAATATAAAACTGAGAAATGAATCTGAATTCACGTTGAAGTTTGAACAGATTGTAAGACAAATTTCTGAGTGTTCCAAAACCTAAACCTAACAAACCTAACAGTAACAAGCAAGGCAACTGAAAACTGAAATGAGATCATCTTGCGAAAGAGAACCAACAACACCAAACAACAGAGGCAACTGAAACTGAAACTCAGGCGTTGCAAAAGTTGGTTTGTTTCATTTAGGTTTTTTTTTTGAGGAACACGCGAAGAGGAACCCAGAAGGCCCAAAGGCCAAATACACGAGAGAGGTAACCCTCAACCAAACCCCCACCACCCACCCACCCCACTGTTTTACAAACAGTCACTTTGGTGACCCAAAATATCATAGCGCAGTTTTGATTCAGCCATTGATAAAATAAGATCACGTGTGCTCCCAGCTTTACTGAGAGGTTATATCAAAGATTTTCCATGCCGACAGCCACTAGATTTCCGATACAGTGTTACGAAGTCCACAGCACTGTCCTAGCCCACGTAGCCTATCGGCTCAAACAGAGTTCAGACAACACAGCCAACCCCATGATGTGTTACTTTCAATGATGCTAACAATTTTGCCTGACACCACCCTAAATAGAATAGGTTATCCTTAGGCGCCAAGCCACGGTGCTTTTCCGACTAAAGACGTGTCGGGACTGCACCTGGCAAGCGCTCCACTCGCGTAGCCATGTCGACCGCGCTCATGACATTTCTGAGGAACTACCATTGGAAAGGTTATAACGTTGAAACCATTCAGAGTACTCCAAATATGTTGACGAATCTACATCGCGGCAAGTATCCTATCCATAGGCTATGTCACAATGTCAACATAGAGTGCAGGGCATTTAACTTGATGGAAGTATGTACATGGCTCAATGGAGAGAAATGGAACATCCTATGGGCTGAAGACGAGTCCTGGCTTCCGGATGAGACGACAGTAGTGATGGGGGCCTCATTGCCCCATGGATTCCATAAGGTCATTCCTCGAGAGTGTGACGAGGTTTACCTGCAGGCTTGGTTGAATATCGCAGGCTACGGAAGTTTTTATCCCTTCGCAGCAGAGGTGCGACACAACGGATACGCATGCTGGGCCAACTCCAGACGTTTTGCAATAGTTGCAAAGAATGCCCAACAATGTGCTATTATTGCAGAAATTATGCATGCGTACAACATACTAGGCAATCGCATCGAAACACTGCAGCCAACCCTAGAAGGAATCGCACTGAGTGAGCAATCACGAATCAACAGTGCTGTCCACGAAGACGATCGACCGTGCTTTGATTTCCGGCTCTCGCCAGAGTGCCAAAATGCAATAGCAGGCCGCTTTCCTAATCATGAAGATGAAGCGGATCGGATCTTCCAACTTAGTGAAGGCATCCAAGTGCTGCAAATGCAACATAATGACCTTGTACAAGAAGCCAACCGAGCACTTTATCGACTACAGCAAAACTGGTATGCCCTCAGTGAAGCGTATGCAACCATCTTCGATGACCTGTGAGGCCCAGGTACTTAGCAGAAGTCCGGTGAAGTTGATTTGTCAGGCAAGGAGAAAAAAAAGTGTTTTACTGATCAGCCTGTTCTGTGGTGATTCTCGCATGTCACGCAAATACCTTTAAGGGAACTGAATCACAGGCTCACCTATTAGGGGTACATTCATCCTCCTCTTGACTGCTGTCGTTGACTGCATTGTGAACATGCCTTTCTGATTGCTCACAGTTTCCTCATCCCCCTTAAGCTGTCATGCCTAACGAGCAATATCCCCTGCCCACCTCCTAGCAAGTTAGATGACAGTCCTATGAAGGAGAGTTTATAGAATGTTCACGACGGGCTTAGGATGACCCCCAACCCGCACTCAACTCGTCTGTACTTGCTCTCCAATATTCACTCGAACACAATGGTTAACCTGCTTGTTGTCCTAGGCTCTTCTCCAAGTCAAGGGTGTGAAAATTAGATGTGAGCGTATTTTAGTGACAATGGGACAGGAATAAAATCAATCTTCCCCATCACACTGGCTGAGATACCCTAGCGAGACAGTCATCATAGAGGCATGACCGCCATGACCCAACACATTTAGCATGCCTGACATTCAATACAGTAACCATTACGGTCACGTTGTCTTTCCGACCAAAGACGTGTCGGGATTGCAACTGACTGATAACAACATCGACTAACTGCCATCTTAATTATGACTCTCACCGTACTTCAAGGTAGCAATCTGTATACAGTGGGCCCCCACTCTCTCTACCTGTACTGCCATGGATTATGTGCGACTCCGTGGTGAAGAACACCATTTCTCGATGCCAGTTAAGATGATCTTATATAGCTTGGAAGCAGCGCAAGAACTTATGGTAGCTGTGCGAGACCTCAGGCGTACAGTACGGCTAGTGCCGAGTGGATGTGTCACCTTTTTTCCAGAAGAAGCACATGGGCTGCAATTGATATATAACACCTTAGAAGCTGACCTCCAGCAGGTTGAATTGGACGGACAGCGCATCACACAGCATCTCTTGACAGCACTAGCAGCATCATACGAGGACATAGTCCAAGTGGCAGGTTTTAGTCGCTCGTCTACACGAGGTGTGTGGGTCAACCACCTATACTTAGTTCCAGCTGCTGATGGAGGCATGACTGATCAGGCGGGCCTTGTACCAGTGCCAATAGATGCCCGACCATTTCGGCTGACTATCCAGACAATACACATCACTGCGACCCTGGGCGGTTTTTTGGACCGCAGGACCATGCGGCAAGCAGCTGATACAGTGGTGGAAGTCGCTTTTCTACTATTACGGACCGGGTTGCCACCCAACCTCCGCATCTGGACTACCATAGCAGCAGGAACCAATTCAACGGTGCAAAGACTCCAACCAAGCACGCTCCTGGCGGAAGTAGCCAGAATGATGGCTCCCGCCATAAGATTTAGTTTTCTCGTGCAGGATCCGCCCACTGCGGCCATTCGCAGTCCCGACAGAGAGTTGAGTGCGCCGGAGGTCGTCCTCCTGTAACCAAAAGTGAGATAGCTGGGGTTTTAGAGGTGATGTATCTCAGATTTGTGGAATTTGCATGATTTACGTGCCACCCATTACCTTCGCTGGTCATCATGTGCTCAAGAGCTGCTACCCCACAACACAAATCCAAGTAATACCACTCAGTATACGTCCGTTGATTTCATTTGATGTATTCAAGCTGTTACCGCTAGACATAGAGGCTTAGCTACGCAGTGCACACTGATTTGCCATGGTGACGAAATGAAGCACTTAGATGTAGTGGATGGAGTTATCGGAGCAATATCGCTCGAAGCAAGACCTCCTTCTGGAGTCATAGGAGACAACATCGAACTGTTAATCTTACACCTACGAATGCCGGATGCTGAGACATGGATCGCACACACTGCTACACATGCAGTACTCAGACTCGAGGAGCAACAAATCCAAGACTATCTCCTCATATCCAATGGACTCATGCACAGGACCCCCTGCGCTTTCTCGATCACAGAAGAGACGGTAGACCGCCTTGATGATCTGCTGCTTGAACAGCTTTTCCGTGAAGGAATAGGCCTCACAGATTCATCTACGATGTACATAGCCACAGCTCATGTACAGCACAGCTACACCCAACTTACTCACTGTTTAACAAGTTTTTGATGAATCAACTGGCTCAAAGCAGGGGTCAATTCTAACATATCAGGTGTAATATCGCCAATTAGTAACTTCTGACCAAAAGAGAGTTGTGCTCCATCACGACAGAGAGCATGATCAGCAGAGGTACTCATGAGTACACGTGCTCACATTGGACAAGTTCTCAAGATTGAGATCTGGCAGCAGCTTTGTATACCCTGTCGCAAATCTGTGGCTCAAACCTCTTTCCCATGTACAGGGCTCCCACT